CAGATTAGCGCTCACCACACCATTAATGAGTATCCCAGCATTCCCTTGGGGCTGTGGAGAGGATAGATAGTCCATCAATCCACAATGTTAACGCTGGGTAACGGGAACACGCAATGTATAGAATGGAGAGAGGCTTGTGTTCTTATTTCATTATGCTACTGTATTGTTCCTTCCCCCGCATCTGTGCTAAGAACACACACACACACACTGGCATGTGCATGTGCATGGACATGTACGCACGCACGTATGCACACACACACACACACACACACACACACACACACACACACACACACAGATACATACAGTCTCCTCACAGTGCCTTTAGCGTGATGTGCAAATATTACTGGAAGTGACTCAGAGGCCCAGGCTGAATGTGTGAGCATGACATAAGCAAAGTGTCAAAACCATCCTGTTGCTGTTAAGATGCCCACTTTACAATTCTCATGTATTCACAAACACATCACTTCCAAGAAAATATCTCCAGGACGTCATCCAGGACCTGTGTGTGTGCTTGTCTGTGTATGCGCGCGTGTGTGTGTGTGTGTGTGTGTGTGTGTGTGGACGTGTTTAACTATTCTTGTGGGGACCAGAAGTCCCCACAAGAATAGTAAACAAACAAACATTTGACCAACTGGGGACATTTTGTTAGTCCCCACGAGGTCAAATGCTATTTCTAGGGGGTTTAGGGTTAAGGTTAGAATTAATGTTAGGGTTAGAATTACGTTAAGGGTTAGGAGCTAGGGTTAGTTTTAGGGTTAGGAGCTAGGGTTAGGTTTAGGGTTAAGGTTAGGTTAGGTTTTTGGGTTAAGGTTAGGGTTAAGGTTTGGGTTAGGGTAAGGGAAAGAATACGGTTTAGTGTTAGGGGTTAGGGAAAATAGGATTTTGAATGGGACTGAATTGTGTCCCCCCACAAGGTTAGCTGTACAATACTCTCTGTGTGTGTGTGTGTGTGTGTGTACACATGCACCAGTTCAATCCACTTAACCAGAGTAGAGGAAGACGGGCCAACAGGATTGATCTGATAGGAGGAAGGCAAACAGTATGTTTCCGAGTTCCATGAGGCCTTGTGAAAACTGCCTGTCCTACTTAGAGGGAACACTCCTCGCCCTGTGTGAAGGCAGCCTTGCCAGGAACACAGCAGGGGGCATAAGAGAGAGAGAAATAGAGAGGGGAGAAAAAGAGAGAGAAATAGAGAGAGAGAGAGAGAGAGAGAGAGAGAGAGAGAGAGAGAGAGAGAGAGAGAGAGAGAGAGAGAGAGAGAGAGTAGAGAATAGAGAATGATAGAGAGAGAGAGAGAGAGAGAGAGAGAGAGAGAGAGAGGAGAGAAAGGGGAGAGAGATAGAGGAAGAGGGAGAGGTAGAGATGGAAATAGAGACAGAGGGAGAGAGAGAAGAGAGAGAAATAAAGGGGAGAGAGACAGAAAGGTACAGAGAGTGACAGGTGCACTAAAAGCCCAGCGAGTCTGTTCCCAGCAGCAGCATGGATCCACACTGGAGAAGAGCTGCTTAGCATAACGAGACAGCAGGCAACAGGAGAGGTTTGATAAAGAGGAGGAAAAAGAGGAGGATGGAGAGAAGAGGGAGGGCGAGGTGGAGGTGTTGGAGGTGGAAGTTGTAGGGGTTGAAAATGCTGCCATCCTGCCACGTTGCTGGCAGCCCAGCCTGCCTAAAGACAAGGTGGCAGGATTTGGGGGGAAAAGGAAGAAGCCAGAATCCACACTAGACTCCAGAACCCAGCAGGGGGTAATCTAAACTGCTGTCTACTACTCCTGGTTCTCCAATACCAGCTGCTCTTCATTCAAACTGTCTGCTAGTCCTGGTTCTCCAATACCAGCTGCTCTTCATTCAAACTGTCTGCTAGTCCTGGTTCTCCAATACCAGCTGCTCTTCATTCAAACTGTCTGCTAGTCCTGGTTCTCCAATACCAGCTGCTCTTTATTCAAACTGTCTGCTAGTCCTGGTTCTCCAATACCAGCTGCTCTTCATTCAAACTGTCTGCTAGTCCTGGTTCTCCAATACCAGCTGCTCTTTATTTAAACTGTCTGCTAGTCCTGGTTCTCCAATACCACCTGCTCATTATTCAAACTGTCTGCTAGTCCTGGTTCTCCAATACCAGTTGTTCTTCATTCAAACTGTTTGCTAACCGAACGCACCATTGGGTGCACACTGCCTGCCCTACAGGACACCTACAACACCAGGTGTCGCAGGAAGGCCAAGAAGATCATCAGGGACCCCAGCCACCCAAGCCATGCCCTGTTCTCCCTGCTTCAATCACTCAGACGTGGGCAGTACAGGAGCTTCATGACATAAACTGTAAGACTGGCCAATAGTTTGTACCCCCAGACCATCACGCTGCTGAATAGCCACCACTAGTCAGCTACCTGCTCCCCCTCTCCTCCTCCTGCCCCCTCAGACTTCCTACCACCCCCATGGACATCCTCCCCAACCCAATGGACATTTATCATGCTGAATAGCTACCACTAGTCAGCTATCTGCTCCCCCTGTCCCCCCTTCCTACTCCCCCGGTATTCCTACCCCCCTCCATTGCTGCCCCTCCTATGACCCCCCCCCCCCCCAATATATATAATTAATTTTTAGAAATGTATTTTTTTATTTTTTTATTTCACTTTGTCCTGCATTGTTGGAGGTCGTAATTTCACTGTACCCTATTAAACTCTATAATCTAAAAACACACACACACAGTAGGTAATGGAAACACAACACACGGTACCAAGTTTTAGGCCTCGCTTGCTTGTCTTCATTTTGATAGATAGCCTTTTATAGGCAGATTTTGATAGATCACCTCTCAAGGTCGGATAAGTACAGTGGGGAGAACAAGTATTTGATACACTGCCGATTTTGCAGGTTTTCCTACTTACAAAGCATGTAGAGGGCTGTAATTTTTATCATAGGTACACTTCAACTGTGAAAGACGGAATCTAAAACAAAAATCCAGAAAATCACATTGTATGATTTTTAAGTAATTAATTTGCATTTTATTGCATGACATAAGTAGTTTGATACATCAGAAAAGCAGAACTTAATATTTGGTACAGAAACCTTTGTTTGCAATTACAGAGATCATACGTTTCCTGTAGGTCTTGACCAGGTTTGCACACACTGCAGCAGAGATTTTGGCCCACTCCTCCATACAGACCTTCTCCAGATCCTTCAGGTTTCGGGACTGTCGCTGGGCAATCCGGACTTTCAGCACTCCCTCCAAAGATTTTCTATTGGGTTCAGGTCTGGAGACTGGCTAGGCCACTCCAGGACCTTGAGATGCTTCTTACGGAGCCACTCCTTAGTTGCCCTGGCTGTGTGTTTCGGGTCGTTGTCATGCTGGAAGACCCAGCCACGACCCATCTTCAATGCTCTTACTGAGGGAAGGAGGTTGTTGGCCAAGATCTCGCAATACATGGCCCCATCCATCCTCCCCTCAATACGGTGCAGTCGTCCTGTCCCCTTTGCAGAAAAGCATCCCCAAAGAATGATGTTTCCACCTCCATGCTTCACGGTTGGGATGGTGTTCTTGGGGTTGTACTCATCCTTCTTCTTCTTCCAAACACGGCGAGTGGAGTTTAGACCAAAAAGCTCTATTTTTGTCTCATCAGACCACATTACCTTCTCCCATTCCTCCTCTGGATCATCCAGATGGTCATTGGCAAACTTCAGACAGGCCTGGACATGCGCTGGCTTGAGCAGGGGGACCTTGCGTGCGCTGCAGGATTTTAATCCATGACGGCGTAGTGTGTTACTAATGGTTTTCTTTGAGACTGTGGTCCCAGCTCTCTTCAGGTCATTGACCAGGTCCTGCCGTGTAGTTCTGGGCTGATCCCTCACCTTCCTCATGATCATTGATGCCCCACGAGGTGAGATCTTGCATGGAGCCCCAGACCGAGGGTGATTGACCGTCATCTTGAACTTCTTCCATTTTCTAATAATTGGTAAGCCGGAATTCTTACTGGTTGGTAGGTGATCAAATACTTATGTCATGCAATAAATTGCAAATGAATTACTTAAAAATCATACAATGTGATTTTCTGGATTTTTGTTTTAGATTCCGTCTCTCACAGTTGAAGTGTACCTATGATAAAAATTACAGACCTCTACATGCTTTGTAAGTAGTAAAACCTACAAAATCGGCAGTGTATCAAATACTTGTTCTCCCCACTGTATGTGTCTCTCAGTAAGGAGTTGATGGAGCTAAGATTAGATGATAGATAGATAGATAGATAGATAGATAGATAGATAGATAGATAGATAGATAGATAGATAGATAGATAGATAGATAGATAGATAGATAGATAGATAGATAGATAGATAGATAGATAGATAGATAGATAGATAGATAGATAGATAGATAGATAGATAGATAGATAGATAGATAGATAGATAGATAGATAGATAGATGTGTTGAGTGTAGAGTTGAAATGGATCTGATAGAATACAGTTCCTGTATGCATACTTTATGCCATCAATGTCAGTGCAGGGTGTGAGTTAAGCATAGTGTTGATGGCTGTGCCAGCTGGAGGTTGTGTGTGTGTGTGTGTGTGTTTGACCCCCTGTGTGGTGGTGGTGTGAGAGGTCTTGACAGCCTGCTAATGTAAGTGTGTGTACATGTGTGAGTTATTTTAGTAACAAACAGTGGGGTAACAAAGCAGCTCAAGGCACTGGTAACATCTCCCCAACTGCAGGTTGCTGGGTGTGTGTGTTTGTGTATGTGTTTGTATGAGTTATCAGCAGGTGTGCTGCGGCATTTAGCACTGAGTGCATGTCAGTGTGTGTATGTGTGTACCATATTCTAAGCTCACGTAATGTGCCAGGGTGTTTGTTTTACTGTATATGTTGTAATTGCAGTAACTCACTCTCTCCCTCTGAATTTTGGGAGAGTTGAGTGAATTTTGTAACCCTACATACGTGACATTGTGCTTGGAGAAAGCGTAAAAGATAGACAGATGGAGAGAGAGAGAGCAAAATAATGAAAGAAAGAGGTCTCACATTGTAGAGGATGTCCACCCATCCCTCCATGGTGATGCACTGGAAGACGGTGAGCACGGCAAACAGGATGTTGTCAAAGTTGGTGATGCCGTAGTTGGGGCCGATCCAGTACTCTGTACACTCTGTACCGTTAGGACACATCCTGGCTGGGGCCTCCGTACCACAGGGGAATGCTGCCGCTCGCTCACCTGGATGGGGGGAGAGGAGAAAGAAGGGAGAGAGAAGGTAGGGCGGGGTAGGGGGTTGGTGGGAGGGGGGAGGTAAGGACACGAGGGAGAGGGGGAGGGAGAGAGTGAGTTACTGCAATTACAACATATACAGTAAAACAAACACCCTGGCATATTAAGTGAGCTTAGAATATGGTACATACATACACACACTGACATGCACTCAGTGCTAAATGCCGCAGCACACCTGCTGATAACTCATACAAACATATACACACACACACATATATACACACCACACACACACACACAAACACATACACACACAGCAACCTGCAGTTGGGGAGATGTTACCAGTGCCTTGAGCTGCTTTGTTACCCCACTGTTTGTTACTAAAATAACTCACATGTACACACACTTACATTAGCAGGCTGTCAAGACCTCACACCACCACCACACAGGGGGTCAAACACTCACACACACACAACCTCCAGCTGGCACAGCCGTCAACACTATGCTCAACTCACACCCTGCACTGACATTGATGGCATAAAGTATGCATACAGGAACTGTATTCTATCAGATCCATTTAAACTCTACACTCAACACACTATCTATCTATCTATCTATCTATCTATCTATCTATCTATCTATCTATCTATTTCAGCGCCATCAACTCCTTACTGAGAGACACATACTTATCCAACCCTGAGAGGTGATCTATCAAAATCTGGCTATAAAAGGCTATCTATCAAAATAAAGACAAGCAAGCAAGGCCTAAAACGTGGTACTGTGTGTTGTGTTTCCATAACCTACTGTATATGTGTGTGTGTGTGTGTCTGTGCATTCTACTACTGTGTACAGTATGTGTGTGTAATCCATTCAGCACTCACCAGTGTCGACATTGAAGCAGGTGGTGTGGAACTTGCCCATGTAGAACTCCACTCCGATGATGGCAAACATGAGTATGGCGAAGAATAGCAGCAGGCCTATCTGGAGCAGAGGCACCATGGCCTTCATGATAGACTTCAATACCACCTGAAGACCTGTGGAGAGAGATGGAGGGGGAGGGAGAGAGATGGAGGGGGGAGGAAGAGAGACGGAGGGGGGAGGGAGAGAGATGGAGGGGGGGAGGGAGAGAGACGGAGGGGGGGAGGGAGAGAGACGGAGGGGGGAGGGAGAGAGACGGAGGGGGGAGGGAGGGGGGAGGGGGGGAGGGAGAGAGATGGAGGGGGAGGGAGAGAGAGGAGGGGGAGGGCAGAGATGGAGGGGGAGGGAGAGAGAGGAGGGGGAGGGAGAGAGGATGGAGGGGGGGACGGGAGGGAGAGAGATGGAGGGGGAGGGAGAGACGATGGAAGGGGAGGAGGAGGGAGGGGAGGAAGAGAGAGGAGGGGGAGGAGAAGATGGAGGGGGGAGGGAGAGAGGACGGAGGGGGGAGGGAGAGGAGGAGGGGGGAGGGAGAGAGATGGAGGGGGGAGGGAGAGAGACGGAGGGGGAGGGAGAGAGAAGGAGGGGGGAGGGAGAGAGACGGAGGTGGAGGGGAGAGAGATGGAGGGGGGGAGGGGAGAGATGGAGGGGGAGGGGAGGATGAGGGTGAGGGGAGAGATGGAAGGGGGAGGAGAGAGACGGAGAGGGGAGGAAGAGAGATGGAGGGGGAGGGAGAGAGACGGAAGGGGGAGGGAGAGAGATTGAGGGGGGAGAGGTAGAGATGGAGGGGGGAGGGGGTTAGAGGGGGGTGCCATATGTAGTCCATGTAAGATAAGATGAGTCATACTTAATAAGTCAGTTTGTGTTTGTGTGTTTAAAAATGTATGATCTGTATATAAATCTTTGATATTTTATTAACACTACAGTAATGTTATGGTGCACACTGAGTGACCTTTGACCTGTTGTCAGTGACTTACTGGGGATGCCAGACACCAGTTTGAGTGGTCTCAGTACTCTCACCGCCCGCAGAGTCCTCAGGTCAAAGTCTGAGCCCACCGTGGCCAGGATCCTGCACACACATACATAAGACAACGAGAGGAGAGTCAGGTGAGTGCATTCAGAAGAGGCACGTAAAACAGTACACTCAGGGCAAGATATCTTCCCCACTTTCTCTCTCTGTCAGTAGGGACAGTAGAGCAGCAGCAGGTCCTTGTGTGTGTGTGTGTGCTGTTCTCAGCCACAGAGCCACAGCTGGCAGGCTGCATTAGAAGCAGAAGCACATGGAGGGGGGGACAAGTAAGTGCTGCACTAAAACCTTCTGAAAAACACTACACTCGGGGGGGAAAGAGAGAGAGGCAGGCAGGCAGGCAGGCAGGCAGGCAGGCAGGCAGGCAGGCAGGCAGACAGACAGACAGAGAAATACAGTCAGGTCCAGAATTATTGCCACCCTTGATAAAGATGAGCAAAAAAGACTGAATAAAATAAATAATACCAATACTGAGCTATATTGTATGCTCCAAAAAATGGGGAAATTATATTATCTTATACTAATTGCTCTGAGAAAAAGATTTTGTTAAACAAGTAATAACTAAAATACATTTTTTTTAAACACGAGGTCATGATTACTGGCACCCCTTGCGAGGATAACGACGCCAAGCCTTTTTCTATAATGTTTTATGAGATTGGAGAACACGTTGGGAGGGATCCTAATACAGAATCTTTCCAGATCTTTGATATCCTTCGTCTGCTGTTACGGACTGACCTCTTCAATTCAAACCACAGTTTTTCAATGTGTTTCAAGTCGGGAGACTGAGATGGCCTTCTGCTTTCAATGCCAAATCCACCACTGGGGTACAAGCTCTTTTTTATGTTATCTGACCATAGCACCAGTTCCACTGGTCCTCAGGCCCTTGTTAAGGTCAACAGCATCATGAACTTTACCAAGTACCAGGACATTTTAGCCAAAAACCTGGTTGCCTCTACAAGGAGCCTGACACTTGGTCGCAGGTGGATCGTCCAGCAAGAAAATAACCCCAAGCACTAACCAAAATTCACAAAGAAATGGTTAATTCACCCCCAAAATAAACATTTTGCAATTGCCATCTCAGTCTCTGGACTAGAACCCCATTGAATACATCTGGTATGAAAAAAAAGAGGGCAGTCCATAAGAGCAGACAAAGGATATCAAGGATCTGGTAAGATTCAGTATGGATGAATGGTCTAAGATCCTTCCCAAAGTGTTCTCCAATCTCATAAAACATTTCAGAAAAGGCTCAGTGTTGTTATTCTCGCAAAGGGAGGTTATTGGTCACAGGGGTGGCAATAATGTTTTTAATTATTAGTTAATGTTTTACTACAAAATCTCTTCTCAGAGCAATAGCATTAGTATAAAATAATATATTTTCCCAATTTTTTTAAGCATACAATATAGCTCAGTATTTGTATTTCTTTTATACTGTCTTTTTTGCGCATCTTTATCAAGGATGCCAATAATTATGGACCTGACTGTATACAGTTCCTTCAGAAAGTACTCATATCCGTTGACTTAGTCCACATTGTGTTGTGTTACAGCCTGATTTCAAAATTGATTAAATATATTTTTTTCCTCACCCATCTACTACACACAATACCAAAAATGACAAAGTGAAAACATGTTTTTAGAAAATGTTGCTAATTTATTGAAAATGAAATACAGAAAATGTAATTTACATACAGTACCAGTCAAAAGTTTGGACACACGTACTCATTCAAGAGTTTTTCTTTATTTATACTATTTTCTACATTGTAGAATAATAGTGAAGACATCAAAACTATGGAATAACACATATGGAATCATGTAGTAACCAAAAAAGTGTTAAACAAATCAAACTATATTTTATATTTGAGATTCTTTAAATAGCCACCCTTTGCCTTGATGACAGCTTTGCACACTCTTGGCATTCTCTCAACCAGCTTCACCTGGAATGTTTTACCAACAGTCTAGAAGGAGTTCCCACATATGCTTAGCACTTGTTGGCTGCCTTTCCTTCACTCTGCCATCCGATTCATCCCAAACCATCTCAATTGGGTTGAGGTCGGGGGATTGTGGAGGACAGGTCATCTGATGCAGCACTCCATCACTCTCCTTTTTGGTAAAATAGCCTCCCACTCCTCTTTCTATTCTGGTTAGAGCCAGTTTGCGCTGTTCTGTGAAGGGAGTAGTACACAGCGTGGTACGAGATCTTCAGTTTCTTGCCAATTTCTTGCATGGAATAGCCTTCATTTCTCAGAACAAGAATAGACTGATGAGTTTCAGAAGAAAGTTCTGGCCATTTTGAGCCTGTAATCAAACCCACAATTGCTGATGCTCCAGATACTCAACTAGTCTCAAGAAGGCCAGTTTTATTGCTTCTTTAATCAGCACAACAGTTTTCAGCTGTGCTAACATAATTGCAAAAGGGTTTTCTAATGATCAATTAGCCTTTTAAAATGATAAACTTGGATTAGCAAACACAACGTGTCATTGGAACACAGGACTGATGGTTGCTGATAATGGGCCTCTGTACGCCTATGTAGATATTCCATTAAAAATCAGCCGTTTCCAGCTACAATAGCCATTTACAACATGAACAATGTCTACACTATATTTCTGATCAATTTGATGTTATTTTAAAGGACAAAAAAATAGAATTTCTTTAGAAAACAAGGACATTTCTAAGTGACCCCAAACTTTTGATGGTAGTGTATATAGAGAGAGATAGAGAGAGATAGAGAGAGAGAGAGCGAGAGCGAGAGAGAGATAAGGAGATAGAGAGAGGGGTGCGGAGAGGGAGAGTGAGCTAGAAAGACAGAAGGAGATAGTGTGAGAAAGAGAGAGAGACAGAGATCCCGGCAAGGCCACACACCACTTTGTCAGTAACAGACAGGTCAAGTCACAATATAATGAACACAGGCTAGGCAGGAGACGCTCGACACGACTGAGTCTATTTTGACGATGACACAAAACAAGACAATGAACAGAGGTTACCGGGGGTAAAAATAAGTCTAATGATATACAATATGTTGTAATGTATCATTGAATGTGATGGTTTGATATCATTTCCATGTACGTCATTTAGCAGACGCTCTTATCCAGAGCGACTTACAGTTAGTGAGTGCATACATTTTCATACTGTAATAATGAATGAGCCTATGGTGTCAATTCCGATTCAAAAGTCAAACGGGCACAAGATGAAACATCATTGCGCGAGCAAACACTTGAGTAGAGAGAGAATAATTGCTGTCGAGCGAGCAGAGGACGGGTGCTGTGAGCTCAGGGCAGCGTGGTGCGCACAAATTACATGTGAGAGCTTGTGAGTGTGACTTTGAGCAAGCAGAACTGAATTTCCGAATGCAGTAAATTAATTTGAGAGAAGAGATTTTTGTTCGCCTAAATAAATACTTACTACATGTCAAGACAGTTTTTCAGTAGAGAAACTAGCTAACCAACTAGCTGGCTAATCAACTATGATACCAATATTGAAATTGAAGTAGGTAGTTATTTGGTCTTCTGTTATTGAAGCAGGCTATTGATGTGGCAAGCTAGGTGAACGTCAGCTAGCTAGGATGCTAACTGTGGTTTAACCAAAGCCAAAGCTGCGCTCTACTGGTTAGAAAGATGGTTCTATATTGAATGTATGTGATAGTCATTGCTAACAATATGAGTAGTGTAGGTAAGGGATGAAGTGAACCTATAGGAGGATAGCTCTCCACGAGGTGGATTGGGCATGAACTGACAGCATGCTGTTCAACATTGAGCCATGCTGACTGACAAGTGGCGTGGATTGGTACAGGGGAATTCCATGGTAACGGAGTGATGCAGAGACTCAGATTTTTCACTTTAAAATATAGGTCAAACAAACCAATTATTTAAAATTGTTAAAAGTAGTCATTGTGCATATATTTGTATGGTTTGTTTCACTTTGAAATCATTGGTTTTTGTTTGACATACATTTTAAAGTGAAATCTGAGCCTCAGCATCACTCTGTTACCATGGAATTGCACTACAGCTCGGCTCAGTCCCACATCTTGTGATTACTTATTTGGCTAAATTATTAACCATTGTTGCCTCTTTTGATACAGCCACAGCAGTCTTAAAATGGACTGTTACCTTGAATGCAACATTAAGATGTTAAAACATTTCAACTGCAATTGAACTATGTCTGTGACATTTCGTGACATCTTATTTTCCTCTCTCTATCACTCCAGTTGTTCTCAGGAGACAGGTCAGTGTGTGTAGAGAGAACACATTTGACCAGGTGGAGTCAGGCTTTTACTTCATCGCCCTGGACCACTACACCAATGAGGCAGAGGACCTCAAGTTTGGACCAGTGAGTCACCAACTCATCTTACGCCTTACACAACTCGACACATACAGTGCCTTCGGAAGGTATTCAGACCCCTTGACTTTTTCCACATTTTGTTACGCTACAGCCTTATTCTAAAATTGATTAAATTGTATTGTTTCCTCATCAATCTACACACAATACCCCATAATATTCCTGTCGCTGAAAAACATCCCCACAACATGATGCTGCCACCACCATTCTTTACCGTAGAGATGGTGCCAGGTTTCCTCCAGACGTGAAGCTTGGCATTCAGGCCAAAGAGTTCAATCTTGGTTTCATCAGACCAGAGAATCTTGTTTCTCATGGTCTGAGAGTCTTTAGGTGCATTTTGGCAAACTCCAAGCGGGCTGACGTGCCTTTTAATCAAATCAAATGTAATTTTATTTGCCACACAACAGGTGTAGACATTACTGTGAAATGCTTACTTACAGCCCTTAACCAACAATGCATTTATGTTTTTATAAAAAAGTAAAATAAAACAACAACAACAAAAGTGTTGAGAAAAAAAGAGCAAAAGTAAAAAAAAATAACAGTAGGGAGGCTATATATACAGGGGGGTACCGGTGCAGAGTCAATGTGCGGGGGCACCGGCTAGTTGAGGTAATATGTACATGTGTCACGGTTTCGGCCGAGACTGCTCCTCCTCCTGGTTCGGGCAGGCTTCGGCGTTCGCCGTCCCCGGAGTACTAGCTGCCACCGTTGAATGTTTCGTGGTGTGATTGCTTTGGTCTGTCTTGTACACCTGTGTCTGTTTGTGTTCTGATTACGTGTCCTATAAGTTCCCTGTTTTGTATTGGTTAGATTGTGTGTTGTTGTCTGCCTGTATTTCGGAGCTGCGTGTTGACGCTCTGTTTGTTTGTTTAGTGTTTACGCATGTTTACGTATTCACTCGCCTCTGTTTGTTTTCGAGGCCGTGTATTGTATTTTTGCACTTTTGACTAGTAAAGTCTGTTGGACGAAGCCTCTGTGTCCTGCGCCTGACTCCTCCACCACATCCACATCGGTTCTTCTGACAACATGTGGGTAGAGTTAAAGTGACTATGCATAAATAATTAACAGAGTAGCAGCAGCGTAAAAAGATGGGGTGGGGATGGGGGGGCAGTGCAAGTAGTCCAGGTAGCCATGATTAGCTGTTCAGGAGTCTTATGGCTTGGGGGTAGAAGCTGTTGAGAAGTCTTTTGGACCTAGACTTGGCGCTCCGGTACCGCTTGCCGTGCGGTAGCAGAGAGAACAGTCTATGACTAGGGTGGCTGGAGTCTTTGACAATTTTGAGGGCCTTCCTCTGACACCGCCTGGTATAGAGGTCCTGGATGGTAGGAGTGGCTTCCGTCTGGCCACTACCATAAAGGCCTGATTGGTGGAGTGCTGCAGAGATGGTTGTCCTTCTGGAAGGTTCTCCCATCTCCACAGAGGAACTCTGGAGCTCTGTCAGAGTGACCATCGGGTTCTTGATCCCCTCCCTGACCAAGGCCCTTCTCCCCCGATTGCTCAGTTTGGCATTTTGGCAAACTCCAAGCGGGCTGACGTGCCTTTTAATCAAATCAAATGAAATGTTATTTGCCACACAACAGGTGTAGACATTACTGTGAAATGCTTACTTACAGCCCTTAACCAACAATGCATTTATGTTTTTATAAAAAAGTAAAATAAAACAACAACAACAAAAGTGTTGAGAAAAAAAGAGCAAAAGTAAAAAAAAATAACAGTAGGGAGGCTATATATACAGGGGGGTACCGGTGCAGAGTCAATGTGCGGGGGCACCGGCTAGTTGAGGTAATATGTACATGTGTCACGGTTTCGGCCGAGACTGCTCCTCCTCCTGGTTCGGGCAGGCTTCGGCGTTCGCCGTCCCCGGAGTACTAGCTGCCACCGTTGAATGTTTCGTGGTGTGATTGCTTTGGTCTGTCTTGTACACCTGTGTCTGTTTGTGTTCTGATTACGTGTCCTATAAGTTCCCTGTGTTTTGTATTGGTTAGATTGTGTGTTGTTGTCTGCCTGTATTTCGGAGCTGCGTGTTGACGCTCTGTTTGTTTGTTTAGTGTTTACGCATGTTTACGTATTCACTCGCCTCTGTTTGTTTTCGAGGCCGTGTATTGTATTTTTGCACTTTTGACTAGTAAAGTCTGTTGGACGAAGCCTCTGTGTCCTGCGCCTGACTCCTCCACCACATCCACATCGGTTCTTCTGACAACATGTGGGTAGAGTTAAAGTGACTATGCATAAATAATTAACAGAGTAGCAGCAGCGTAAAAAGATGGGGTGGGGATGGGGGGGCAGTGCAAGTAGTCCAGGTAGCCATGATTAGCTGTTCAGGAGTCTTATGGCTTGGGGGTAGAAGCTGTTGAGAAGTCTTTTGGACCTAGACTTGGCGCTCCGGTACCGCTTGCCGTGCGGTAGCAGAGAGAACAGTCTATGACTAGGGTGGCTGGAGTCTTTGACAATTTTGAGGGCCTTCCTCTGACACCGCCTGGTATAGAGGTCCTGGATGGTAGGAGTGGCTTCCGTCTGGCCACTACCATAAAGGCCTGATTGGTGGAGTGCTGCAGAGATGGTTGTCCTTCTGGAAGGTTCTCCCATCTCCACAGAGGAACTCTGGAGCTCTGTCAGAGTGACCATCGGGTTCTTGATCCCCTCCCTGACCAAGGCCCTTCTCCCCCGATTGCTCAGTTTGGCATTTTGGCAAACTCCAAGCGGGCTGACGTGCCTTTTAATCAAATCAAATGAAATTTTATTTGCCACACAACAGGTGTAGACATTACTGTGAAATGCTTACTTACAGCCCTTAACCAACAATGCATTTATGTTTTTATAAAAAAGTAAAATAAAACAACAACAACAAAAGTGTTGAGAAAAAAAGAGCAAAAGTAAAAAAAAATAACAGTAGGGAGGCTATATATACAGGGGGGGTACCGGTGCAGAGTCAATGTGCGGGGGCACCGGCTAGTTGAGGTAATATGTACATGTGTCACGGTTTCGGCCGAGACTGCTCCTCCTCCTGGTTCGGGCAGGCTTCGGCGTTCGCCGTCCCCGGAGTACTAGCTGCCACCGTTGAATGTTTCGTGGTGTGATTGCTTTGGTCTGTCTTGTACACCTGTGTCTGTTTGTGTTCTGATTACGTGTCCTATAAGTTCCCTGTTTTGTATTGGTTAGATTGTGTGTTGTTGTCTGCCTGTATTTCGGAGCTGCGTGTTGACGCTCTGTTTGTTTGTTTAGTGTTTACGCATGTTTACGTATTCACTCGCCTCTGTTTGTTTTCGAGGCCGTGTATTGTATTTTTGCACTTTTGACTAGTAAAGTCTGTTGGACGAAGCCTCTGTGTCCTGCGCCTGACTCCTCCACCACATCCACATCGGTTCTTCTGACAACATGTGGGTAGAGTTAAAGTGACTATGCATAAATAATTAACAGAGTAGCAGCAGCGTAAAAAAAATCCAGAAAAACGCATGTCAAAAATGTTATAAATTGATTTGCATTTTAATGAGGGAAATAAGTATTTGACCCCCACTCAATCAGAAAGATTTCTGGCTCCCAGGTGTCTTTTATATAGGTAACGAGCTGAGATTAGGAGCACACTCTTAAAGGGAGTGCTCCTAATCTCAGTTTGTTACCTGTATAAAATACACCTGTCCACAGAAGCAATCAATCAATCAGATTCCAAACTCTCCACCATGGCCAAGACCAAAGAGCTCTCCAAGGATGTCAGGGCCTAGATTGTAGACCTACACAAGGCTGGAATGGGCTACAAGACCATCGCCAAGCAGCTTGGTGAGAAGGTGACAACAGTTGGTGCGATTATTCGCAAATGGAAGAAACACAAAAGAACTGTCAATCTCCCTCGGCCTGGGGCTCCATGCAAGATCTCACCTCGTGGAGTTGCAATGATCATGAGAATGGTGAGGAATCAGCCCAGAACTACACGGGAGGATCTTGTCAATGATCTCAAGGCAGCTGGGACCATAGTCACCAAGAAATCAATTGGTAACACACTACGCCGTGAAGGATTGAAATCCTGCAACGCCCGCAAGGTCCCCCTGCTCAAGAAAGCACATATACAGGCCCGTCTGAAGTTTGTCAATGAACATCTGAATGATTCAGAGGAGAACTGGGTGAAAGTTTTGTGGTCAGATCAGACCAAAATTGAGCTCTTTGGCATCAACTCAACTCGCCTTGTTTGGAGGAGGAGGAATGCTGCCTATGACCCCAAGAACACCATCCCCACCGTCAAACATGGAGGTGGAAACATTATGCTTTGGGGGTGTTTTTCTGCTAAGGGGACAGGACAACTTCACCGCATCAAAGAGACGATGGACGGGGCCATGTATCGTCAAATCTTGGTTGAGAACCTCCTTCCCTCAGCCAGGGCATTGAAAATGGATCGTGGATGGGTATTCCAGCATGACAATGACCCAAAACACACGGCCAAGGCAACAAAGGAGTGGCTCAAGAAGAAGCACATTAAGGTCCTGGAGTGGCCTAGCCAGTCTCCAGACCTTAATCCCATAGAAAATCTGTGGAGGGAGCTGAAGGTTCGAGTTGCCAAACGTCAGGCTCGAAACCTTAATGACTTGGAGAAGATCTGCAAAGAGGAGTGGGACAAAATCCCTCCTGAGATGTGTGCAAACCTGGTGGCCAACTACAAGAAACGTCTGACCTCTGTGATTGCCAACAAGGGTTTTGCCACCAAGTACTAAGTCATGTTTTGCAGAGCGGTCAAATACTTATTTCCCTCATTAAAATGCAAATCAATTTATAACATTTTTGACATGCGTTTTTCTGGATTATTTTGTTGTTATTCTGTCTCTCACTGTTCAAATAAACCTACCATTAAAATTATAGACTGATCATGTCTTTGTCAGTGGGCAAACTTACAAAATCAGCAGGGGATCAAATACTTTTTTCCCTCACTGTATCTATAACACAAAATCCATGTGTA